AGAGAGAGAGAGAGAGAGAGAGAGAGAGAGGAGGGAGGAGGGAGGGAGGAGAGAGAGAGGGAAGAGAGAGAGAGAGAGAGAAAAAGTGCACTGGGAAGATAATCCCCAGTCAAACTGTGAGATTGGAGGTCTGGAGGTCAGATGCTGATCACTTTTTAAAGTTCTTATTGATGTTGTTTGGGATGCCTTTGGAGTTAAGGTTCCAGGATGGAAGAAGGAGGGCAATGTGAGAATTCATTTAAATGACTCCATTTTTGGTGTTGGTTTCTAAAGCAGGATGCAATATGGAGCCAGATATAGATTGATAAAGGGTAGTTTATTAAGGAATAGTACTCACACAGACCGCTTAGCCAGGCAGCAGGGAGCAAGGGAAGAAGGGTAGCTTTGTGCGTCCCCGAACTCTTTAAACCTTTCCCATGTCACTCTGACTACGCCCAAGCGGGCATAGTCATTGAAACCTGTCTCCAGTCCCAAGCCCTACCAGTAGCTGGCCCCAAGTAGGTGTGGCCAGGATTTCCCCCTACAATTTCCCTTTTAGTCTAAAAAGGATTAAAACTTAACGGTGTAAAGTATCTATAATTGACAATCATAATGGTGAATTACAAGAAATATAATAATCTGCTTATATTAATCTTAACTATGTCTATTCCAACTAAACCCTAAAGTCATCTGAAAGAGATGTCCAAGCCTGAACACCTCCTTCCAATCCCAACCCTAAACAATAGGAAACTATCCCTAACTAGATGTATATAATCTTTAGTGACAGCAGTGGGGGAAAGGGGCATAGTATTCTCTAAATTACTTCCTGTTGAAATGGGACAACAATAGCCTTGTGGGGTCTCGTAGGAAGAAAATGTTAGTGTAGTGAAAGTCTTCAGTGGATTATATCTAGTCCGTGTTTGGTGGGAGATGCTTGATTGAAGGTCTAGGTTGAAGTCCTTATCTTGATTGAAGTCCTTGTGTTGATTGGAGTTATTCCCTGAAGCTCTGGCTGGAGTGTCAGTTCAGACAAATCAAGATGGATCCAGTGGACTTGAGGAGGTGTGGCCCATTTTCTTTTTGGAACATTCAGGGATTGCTGTCAGGCTTCATTGGCTGTGTGAAACTCAAACATAAATGTTAGCAGAGAAATTTTTACTTTTATATGTATGAGTACTGGGAAAGGCTACAATGGGAAAATAACAATTATGACGGAATGTATACCTTAAGAGAAAGAGCCAAGAAAAGACAAATGACAGTCCCCAATTTTCTCTTATTTTGTTTTACATCAGTTGGCTTCTTGATATAACACAGAAACTCTGAATTTTATTTTAACAACATGCTTGGATTTAGAGGAGGAAAGCCAAATCCACTCCAAAGCCAATATTGACCCTATGGCACATTCCTTTTGTTTGATGGTTATAGCTACCTTCTCTTATTTAAGTATCCACCCATGCAGTGTCTTTTGACTTCTGGAGATGAGTTTTCCT